GCAAGGCTCAGACAATTGAATGTCAAGCGAAGCAACTCCTGCAAAACACCGCACCGCTCAAGAACCAAATCCCAAGCAAAAGACCACCCCACCGAAGAAGAAATCCAGGCAAGGTAGACCACAGCTCAGCAACCGAATGCCAAGCACGCAACTCCCAGACAAAGTAAAGCCATCTCGGGATGCAGCTTACTCATCATCTTCCTCCTTGCTGGACTCTCGACCACGCTTGCCGTTGCCATTAAGACGATTCATCTTCTCCAACTTTCTAAACTCCTTCGCAGTCTTCTTAGCGAGTAGCTCAGCCTCAAGAGCCTTCTCCAAAGCCTTCGCACGATCCGCAGCTCTGCCCGAGAAGCCGTTCTGCTCATAACGCTTCTTCTTGTTCTTGTTCTCCGTCTTCCAATTGTAGGCACGCTTGGGTCGAGCAACATATGTATCAGCGCGACGACGGACCTTCTTGGCAATAGCCTTTGCGGAGAAGCCGGGGCGACGGGACTCTTGTTCAGCTTCAGCGAGAGCTTGAGCTCGACGCATGACGAAGGACATATGGGGGGTCTCTGGGTCGTCAGCGAAGTTCATGGGGACCTCCTTTAACTCGGGCTTCTTGGGTTTGGGGATAGCGACACGAGGACGATGAGCGTTGGGGTCGACGAGAGATGAGTCGGGTGGGAAGGTCATGATGTTGTCAAAGTCGAGGCCAGGGTAGACGTAGCCGCGACGGTAAGGAACACCAGAGGTGTGAGAAGGGGGAAGGACGACTGGACCACCGTTAACATTTGGCGCTGAGGCATTGCCGTTGGCGGAGGGCTCTGGGGTTGGGGAGCGGCCATCAGACATGTCGGAATCGGATTCATCGGGGTTGATGTATGGGCCATTGCCGGTAGCATTGGCTGCTGCGAATCTCAACCGCTTGGGAGGCGGCTTTGGGGCTTCATCCTCGGACTCAGACTCAGATTCAGACGTATCGAAAATCTTGCCTTCCTCGGAATCCTAATACCAGAAATGTTAGCATGATGTATCCCTGTCGACTTCACTGGAACAAGAGCGCCCAAAGTCGCCACCTTGGCTGGGACTTTTATTTTTGGGGATTAACAGATTAGGATGGATGCCAGAAGGGGTCTGGGGTTTTGGGGGGTGAATAGTGGTGTCTTCAGACAAAGGTGACGCGACGCGCTCTGAGCTGACCTTGGGCGGAAAAAATCGTCCACACACCGCGACAAACGCAGGGAGAACAATTATACTTTGCTAAACAATGAAATGTAGACATACCTCGTCACCACTGTCCCATCGAGCGTGTTTATCTGGAAGAGGACGACGAATAGGCTGCAGATCTCCATCAGGATCATTCTGGTCGAAGAGCGCAAGCTTGGCGAAAGAGCGAGCACCCATAGGGCGTTGAGATTGTGCGCGAAGAGCACTGGAAGCCATGGCTGGTCGGGAGGAGGATGGTGTAGAGTTCGTTGGTGCCTTTGCAATGTTAGTTAACTCTGTGAACAAAGGCGACGCGAATACGCGAATGCGCAAAATTGAAAATTACCATTGAATATTGTCGGTCGTGGTTTGGCTTGAAGGCAAAGCTAGGAGACTTTGGGGATGGTTGTTGATCGCGAGAACCTGACTCGACTGCGCGCGAGGTACCGGAAGCTGGTGTGTTGGCCATGGTTGCGAAGTTGGCTCTGTTGTTGTTTCGGATGGGGATGGAGCCTGGGAAGTCGATGTAGGAAGGATGTGCAGACTAGTAAAGATTTCGTTAGCTCGGCAGAAAAGGCTAGTTACTTGGGCGTAAATGTGATCGAACTCGGCTCGAACCTCGAAGAAAAGGACCGGAACAGGTACTAAAGCGCCTCGCCGAATCTTGCGGCTTGATTGTTCCAGTGTACATTGGGACAATGAAAAGGACATTCGAAAACTCACCTCCCAATGCTTCTTGATCTCTTCCTCCACGTCATTCGTAAAGTTGCAGCCGAATTCTGGACATTTGAGGACCGAAGGATCACCGTGTCCACTTGAATGTCTCAAAGCGGAAGGGCGGATGACAGTGCGAGCAGCACGCTTGGGAGCAGACTCCGGCTTCCATCCAGCGGCAACAGCGGCGGCGAGGGCTTCATCGTAGTGGTCACTGTTCCAATGGTCGATATAGTTATTCTTGACCGTAAATGTATATTGGCAACCCGAGAACTGGCAGGCGGACAGCGTGGGGAGGGCATGGCCATGGTGCCTATCAAGAATGTGCTCCTTCAACGTATATCATCTGGTATACGATTCACTGCAGGAGCCGATGGTGCAGCCCCATGGTCCTTGAGGACGATTGTCAATATCTAGAAACATGTTAGTCGAAGCCCTGAATCTCCGAAGCTTCCGGAATCACTGGAGGAATACTCACTACCTGTACCCTGATTGGAACCCGTAGTGGAGGGTGTCACGGTGGAGGTCACGGTGGAGGGCGCTGGTGCGGCAGTGCTATTGTCACGAAGGGACATTGAACTCGCGTGATCTGGCGACATGAAGAGCCCGGAGGAGTTCGACCGCGCACGGGGAGGCATCTCGGAAGTCTCTCCCTCCTCGTCGCTCAGGTGGGCGGAATCAAAATGTTCGTTGAACTGCCTATAGGAGTGGAAGACCTCGGGGCAAGCTGGGCACGTAACATAGTCCGGAGATCGGGGTGGAAGAGGAGAAGCCATATCGGGCGGAAATAGCGGGGTGGATGTTCCAGAGGATCTCGGGACAATAAGATTGTCGTGTTGCGGGTGGTTCGTTGGGAAAAAATATGTAGAAGTGATGGTTTGGTTCGGTGGTCGAAGGGCTTCTTGAATGTACTAGCGTTGCATTAGCGCACGTCCATCGACATCCAAGGCAAATGAGGAAGGAACGACTATTCGCTTGAATCCGAGCTGTTCCTATAGTAGACAAGACGTGTGAAAAGGGGTTCATACTTCAATAAAGGGGTAGACTTCTTGATGGCCAAGAGGATGTTCCAGAGGACCTCAGGACAATGAGTTTGTGCTTCTGAAAGATGTCACCATGGGTACCGAAGACGTCGAGGAGGAGTATGGAACAAACCTAAGATATCTGATCTCAATGTTTTAGGTAGCCTGGGGATAATGCAATTGCACTCCTGGCAAGTGTCAGTCGATGTATACTAAGCATATTCGAAAAAGGGGCATAAAACGTACCTGTGATGATCAAGTGGATGTCCCAGATAACTTAGGGACAGCGAGATTATCCTCCGGTCCGAATATCGGAGCGGGTTGTGACGGTGAGCCGCTCCTGTCTCCCAGCCTCACCGTCAGTATCAAGCAATGAATAAAAAGACGGGCCGCTTGGGGAAAATGAGATTCCTCATACCTCAATAAAGGTGGTCAAGCAGCTGAAAGGGGTTGAAAGACTTCCTAAACAATAGCAGATGGCTGAGATTCGATGTGGTGGACAGCAGGTGTGAAAGGTGAGACGTGAAAAAGGATGTAAGAGGACGAAGGACGGTTTGTTCCTCACTAGCCCCGGTACTTGCTGAAGAGCTGCTTGAGTTGACAGTTGGTGCTGAGGAGGATAGGGAGTGTTTATGAAGGGTACTTAGCATTGTAAATATCTCAGCCTTGACATGACAATTAGTCATGTGTGTAAGAGTAGGTAGAAATTGAAGTGGCAGACAATCGTGGTTGTGGAAAGAATGAAGATAGCAAGGTATGCAGGAGAGAAGTTTTGAAGAGGAAGACGAAGTTTGTTTTGTACCTTACTAGCCTAAGGACTATCCGAAGAGCTGCCTGACTTGATGTCAGCACCGAGTAGTAAAGGCACGTAGAGCTCCTCCAGCGTTCTCAATGTCCCAGCCTCGATGGGACATTCAAGTAGCTTGACCCTTGATCAAGACAAGTGGCCCGATGGCTGAAAAATGGAGACCGTTAAGCTGCTGACGTGGAAGGGGTGTCAACTCTTGAGCAAGAAAGAGAAGTTGAAGACCTCTTCGATCGAGGTTGACAGTCGATGCTCGACGTGGTAGACAATAGGTATTGGTAGGATGGGCGCCGAAAAGTATGTAGGAGAGATGGTTTTGACGGGGATGGCGAGGGTCCTTTTGTACCTCAAGGTTCGAGACAACGAAGCGAGCGACAAAAGGGGACAGGTTATTGGGGCTAGCACTCGACCAGGGGCCGGACCCCTCGAGCCGAGCCGAGGGCTATCTGGCTGACAGTCAGCTCTGAGCAGTAGAGGGAGATATGCAGAGGGGGTTCAGCAATTTCGATGCCCCAGTCTGGCTAGGACAATCAAACAAGCTAGGCTACGATAGCCAACGCATGACAACGTTGCGGTGCTCAAGAGGAAGGCCTTTTGTACCTCGAGGGGAGGAGTCGAGTATCGAGCAAACAAGAGAGCTTGAAGTCCTTCGGATTGCCAGTTGAGAGTCAAGATGGCAAACAAGTTGGCAGACAACCAATGAAGATAGGGAAACAGAAAGTACAAGAGAAGATCTTGAATTGCTGCAGGCTATCCTTGTGAAGTTAGCAAAGCACTTGTGAATGTTCAACAAAGGTAGGGAACACTGATATTCACCAGTGTTTCCAATGTAGCTTTTGTGAAGAGAGAAGGTCATAGCTATATAAGAGAGAAAGTTTTGGGAGAAGATATAATTTCTTTGAAGTAAAGTTAGTAATATACTAGTGAATATAACTAAGATAGGAAGGGATAAGTACTTACCACTATTGTCAAGGTCGACTGTTGTAGGAGAGGTAAGTCCTTGCAAAAGAGGTAGATCGTTCAAAACAAGCCCAAACTTCACTTTCTCGAGATCGGTGGACGTTGAATTTTCTCCGTTGGCGTCAACGCTAGTCCTTCGCCTTTATTTCCTATTCCAGAAGCCTCCCCCTTTTCATCCAGCATCAAACCACATGACTCCTCCCATCTCTTTCAACACCCTAACCGATCGGAGATATCCGTACCATCTAACCATTCCACTTGGATCTCTTTAAAACCTCAAAAACAAAACAACCAAAAAGAAAAAAACTTGGACTGCGCGGGAATTGAACCCACGTCTCCCTACCCAAAATGTGACACCCCAAATGGTGCCACTAGATGTAGGGTGTGATCTCCACTTCACCAGCAGCCCGCCAGTTGCGCTACAAACGCTATATTGTTTGATGACAGGGTTTTGGCTTATTTAAATCTATACGGGTGTTAGCGAGGTCGGTTGAAAGTCGGGGGTTGCGATAGGAGGGAATAGGTTGGTTATGTAAATGTCCCTGAATTGCTGGGACTTTACCTGGCTTACGTTGTCCGAGTTAAGGACGGCCATTACAGTAATTCAAATAGTATCACAATAATGAGAGCATTTGGCAAGACTGTCTTTGCTAGTACTGAAAGAAAGTGATAACAAAGTCTTGATTAACGACATCCCAGCAAACTCCAAACCATGCCAACAATGCCCGCAACTCCAGCTCGAAGTATCTATACCACAACCCATCAATCAAAATTCCATCATACACCATGCATCAAAATTTCCATGAGTGCACAAAAGCCCAACGCCTATCAAATGCAGAACGCCAAGTCAAGCAATATAAGCACAAAAGCAGCTCACCCATCACGATACACCAGCAGCGGAAAAGCTCAACAAAGACCCCGTAGTCAGACCTGCCACAAGCATCAAGACCATGAATCCTCCCGCAGCTTCTCGTTCTCCTTCCTCCACGTAATCGTTTGCTTGCATCATACAAGAGCTTCCTAGCCAGCCGTTGGTGATTCCAAAGCCGAATTGTACAACGAATAAGTAGAATACATCGCTGTTGATGATGGCCCCGTGGCCTTGGATGTTACATAGGAGATACATAGGAATGAACCCTACTCGAAGGATCGAGATGATGAACAGGACGATGGGGTGTTGTTTCATCCTGAGTGGGGTGAGGGTGACTAGTCGACCACCAAGATCACCCACATTCCAGACGAGGAAGCCGAGGGGGATGAAAGCTGCTGATCGGAAGAGTCGAGGGGCCTGGTCTTCGGGAATCGTAGAAACAACTTTCTGTGTGAAGACTGGGAAGAACATGGTGACAGCAAAGCACAAAAATAACGAGGCTGCGAGCCAGTGTGTCTTCTTCCACAGCACCCACATCGAGATCACCTTCCGCTTCGATTGCTCGGCTTCCTCAACGCTCGTTATGGAGTTCATCATCGTGGCTTCCAAAATGCGGTTGTGTTTCCGGACGAGTGGTATGAAAGCAAATCCTGTGACGGCGCTGACGAAGGTAGCTGTTAGGAAGTACGCAAATGCCGATGTTGTGTTCTCCTTAGCCATGATCACGTCCAGCTCGGCAGCAGAAGCCCAAGCGTCCGGTAATGGGACTGAGAGGACCGAGATGATCTGAGCCAATGCTGGAAGTACACCCGCCACCGCATTTCCCGTCAAGATGGCATTGATATATTCCGGTCGTCCAAAACTTGCTGCAAAAGCAAAAGCTCCGTTTTGACAGAGGCCTGTTGCCAAAGATGCAAAGAATACCATAAACAGTGTGAACACTAAGTATCCCGTCGACGATACTCCTCGGAAGTGTGTCGTCGATACAGCGAGGAGGCCAAACACGACGATGTTGATGCCTAGAGCAGAAAGGATTCGGTGCGGGTAGGAGGCTTTCTTTTGGATGCTTGCGAGGATGGACATCGAGCCAAGGTTGGTGACGCAGGACACGGAGGTTATGGAAGGTTGGAAGGAAGCCAGAATCTTCTCGTTGTCTGCAAATCGAGTCTGGAAATAGGGAGCTGCTGCTAAGAACATGTTCCTGCAAGAGTTAGTAACCGATGGGAGATATCGAAATGTAGTGCTTCTTACCATGCCCACAGCATAGCTACACCCAGCAGCATGAATACCAAGTATTCAGCCCAAGAGAACTCTACCTGCGGACCAGCAACATCGCCTTCCTCTTCGTCGTCAGACCCATCTTCCACGGTATCATCGACGATCAAGAGAGGTCTGCGGACTAGTGGGTCATTTGGATCCCCTTCGGAGTCGGAATACACTGGGACATACGCCTGCTCATTGTCTTTCGCAAAGATAGCACGAACTCGGTCGGCGGCGTTCCTGTCGGCCATGATGAGTGTCGACTTGAGCGGCAGGTTGGAAAGTGGGGGGTTATCGGAGGTGCATTTGTGGGAAGTTGTAGTACAGAATAGCAAAAGAAAGAAAAGTCTATCAAGATAGCATAGCTAGTAAGCGCAGTTCAGATTCACCAGCTATTGTCGCCTGGCAGAGTTGACGTCTTGATTCAGTCAAGGGATCTCGGAAGCAAAGTTTTTCCGGCCGAAAACGGAGTCACCCGCGCCTGCCCTGACATGAGCATCTACAATAGCTCAAACGCGCTCTGAATACCCCTATCGCCACGATTTCAAGGGTCACTGAACATCTACTAGCGGGCCGCTCTCTCCCATACAAATTTTGGTGGACGAAGGAGACCGCGTAACATGACTGATTTCTCCTGCGATGCAAGTATGTTATGCATACGTCGAGCTGCAACAGATTCTTTGTATCTGACGGAGAAACATTTCAAAATACATTTCTGACGATAAGAAAGTCTCTTTGTCATTTCCCATTGAGTTGTGGTTGATACTTCAGTCAAGTCGACTGATTCGTCCACGCGCCGTCGAGGTGCAGCTTTCGCGATAAAGTTTCTAGCAAGCAAGCGTGCTTCCAGTGTTCGCAGTGCTGCACTCAACGGGGAAACCTCCTTTACACGAGTACACCAATGATATATTCTTTCTTTGTGGGCTTGTATTGATGACAAGAAGGTGCCAAGAATGCCCTGGCCAGTTGCGATAAAGCTGTCGCATCCAAGAAGACCCCACCTTCGATCGGCAATGATGGAGTTGCTATACACGGCGGCCGCAGTTGCAGCGATTTCCTGGCCAATTTTATATATGTTCCGATATTTCGAGCGTTCTGAATTATTAATAAACGGAGATGGAGAGGGTTGATGAATTCTGCTTGCAGTGTGCTTCGCAACGACGTCATGGCTGCAACTATGACAGCTCATGTAATAGTCTGCTCCATGCCCTTCGTCAGTCACTTCACACCCATGCTTACAATCTCGCGACATCTTGTGGATCTAGGATACCAAGTGACGTTCATCACAAGCAGCAAATTCTGCGACAAGATTCAGAACATCGGCGCAGCGTTCGCCGAACCATCAGGATGGGGGGACTTCCACGACGACACTCTCGCCTCCAAATCTCAGGGAGCACCAACAGACCCCTACGCAAGAGCGAACTGGAACGTAACAACCTTCTTCATAAAAACTATACCAGCTCAAATTGAAGCTATACAATCAGTCATCACTTTCAGCCTTGCCAGCGACCCATCGAAACCCATCGTCGTACTCCCAGAATCGAGTTTCCATGGCGCATTACCGATTCTCCTTGAAGCCCCCGGACAACGACCAAATGGCATCGCTCATGTTGGAATCTTTCCCATTCTAGCACTGAGCATCGATACCGCGCCTCCAGCTTCAGGCATACTTCCCTCCTCTTCACCAGAAGGACAAAAACGAAATGAGGAATTGAACAAGACATACGTCGATCTATGGGGACCTATGCAGCGGGAATTGAACTCTACACTCGCGAGTCTAGGAGCAAGAGGGATTGAGGAATATCGACACAACGCAGTCATCTCACTCTCAGATATCTTCCTCCAGCTCTGTCCTCCTAGTCTCGAATACCCACGCTCCGACATCCCGCCTTCTTTACGCTTTACTGGTGGACTTCCGCGAGATCCTCCATCTGTCACTCATTCGACTAAGGACTTGCCATCATGGTGGTCAGAAATCATCCAAAATTCCAAGAAAGAGAA